TTGGCGGTAGCCCGTTTGGGCCCGGCAGAGTGGTGCCTTTGATCGGCGCTCCGGCGATCCCCGGCGGTAGAGCCGTACGCGTGGTTTGATTTATTAAGTAGTGTGGCTTGTGTTTTTGGTTTTACTAGTTTTTACACACGTGCAATGCACGTGATTTAATACCATGATTAAGTATTTTTGGCAGTTTGTGCTCATTTTTTTCTTTAAACTCTTACATCCCGATTATTTTTTTATGTTTGTTTAAATGGGATACACCCAATTTAAATTTTCATGTTGATATTTGAATTGACAAAAAACAAATATAATTTAAAAATAATTTGAATTTTCATATTATTTTTGACCGATATGAAACTAAGCATTATTTGAGAAAGTATAACATTGCAAAGTAAAAAATATTAAAATAGTGTTATACAAGGAAGGTGAATATTTAAAACCAATATGGCAAAATGATTGATTTAAAGTATGTTAAAACGATGCAAAAGAGAATATGAAGTTTATTCTTAATCATTGATAGACTTCATAAAAAAATATAAATTAAAGATTAATGCTAACTATAGTATAGACTTCATAAAAAATATAAATTAAAGATTAATGCTAACTATAGTATACTTTTATATGATAAAAACATCCACATAAGAATATAAAAGTACTAAAAAAAATTCATGAAACTCCCTTCTAAAGATTCCTAATTTCACTCAAAATAATTAAAATATTCTATAAAATATTCATAAAATATTGTTTTTATTTCTTCTATTTTATTTTTTATTGAGTTAAGATCAATCCTTCTTCAGGTTTATCATTTATCATTTCTCGGACAATTCTAGAGTATTGTCTTCATCATCTACATCAATTGTGACATCAGGCTAATTTTGTATTTTTATGCTATTATCTTTCCTAGGCTCGTTAATTTTTTATCAGCTCATTTAACTTTACAAAGAAGTCAAATGTACTTATGATGTTCAACACAAACTGCTCAAAATAGACTTTGGTTTTTTTTTCTATTTCAATGAGAATAAATATTAATTTCATATATATAAAATTCTTTGTGTTCTTAATTTATTACTTAAATAAATTAGAAGCTATCTCTTTATTTTCCTCTAAAATGAATTCTTCTGATGTGCATCCAATAAGAATTTCTGTTATTTCAATAATATTACCTTTGCTCTCTATCCCTGATTTTCCATAAAGATCTAAACTAAATACCTGCATTATTCATTACCAATTTCTCTTAGATTATAATATTAATATTTAATTTGAAGAACACAGTATGGAATTTATGAATACTTACTAATTTTTCTTATGTCTTCCATGGAGATTTTTTCTTTGATTAGGATAAAGTTATTAAATTATTTTTTAATGTAACTCATTCAGTGCTTCATTAATAGATATGTCTTATGTTAATGCCAATTCAAGTGATTCATTGACGTTTTCTGAATTTTAGATTTATTTCCATCACTTTCCCATTTGCAATGGAAATAACTCAATTCTTTTAAAGTTATCTCTAAATATTCTAATACTTTCTCCATATGTAATTTCTTGTATTCTTTTACCCTATAAATATTATTAACGTCAAAGATTAAAGTTTCTAAATTAAAATCAATTAATGCTAAGGTATAATATTATAGTGTTTTATCATTTCTATGGATTTAAACATCTATCAATTAATGTTACGAATGTATTTTGGCTACCCTAACTTATTACTAAAATTATATGAAATTACTTTAATTTATATAGTGCCGATAATTTTTAATCTATGATATTTTAAAAAATTTATCCATTAAACCGGATGTTTTTAATCAATTCTTATTGTTTTTGTTTACCAGTATCAACTTAGACTATTCTTAGATGCTGAAAATGGATAGTAAATCCCTAAATTAAAAATACCAAACAATTACACTTTTCTTTGCCAAGTTTTAAAATTTTAGCCCATTTTTGTGGTTTTGAACTTTGAGGGTGTGATTTATAATTTTTAAAAATTTGAAAGAGTTTTTAAAAAAAAATTACTTTTAAATTTGGTAGTTGTAAATTCTATGTTTCATGTGTTGGTGGTAATTTTTTAAATGTTAGTATATTTCTTGTAACTCTAAAATTTTGAGGGTGTCTTTTGCAATTATTAAAACTATAGATTAATTTTGAAAAATATTAAATTTTAGCGGTCTACCAATCGACAAATTTGATGTGTGCTAGTTAAAAATTTTGAAAATTTAGAGTTTTTTTTACAAATTTTAAAATTTGAAGGAGTTTTTAAAATTTTTGAGGTTAATTTTGGTAAATTTTAAATTTTTAGGTGTCTAAGGGTAATATCTTGAATTCATCTTATTTTATTTATAAATTTTAGAATTTTAGGGTGGCTTTTTATAATTTGAACTTTTGAAGGTGTTTCTATAATTTTTGAGATATTGAGGGTGTTAATTAAAAAATTTAAATTTAAATGTCAAAAATTTTAGGTGTATCATGGTAATCTCTTGAATTCATCTGTGTTGTTTGTAAGTTTTAAAATTTTAGAATTTTAATGTGCTTGTCTGTAATTTAAACTTTTGAGGGTGTTTCTATAATTTTTGAGACATTGAGGTGTTAACTGTAAATTTTAAATTCTTTGCAAACTGATGTTAATTTTTTAATTTCATGTTTTTTATTTTAAGTTTTGAGACATTGGGATGATTTTTATAATTTTGAACTTTTTAGGGTCTTTTCTGCAATTTTAAAACTTTTTATGGTTTTTTTACAATACTTCATGTATTATAATATGTTATCTACTTGTAATTTCTTTATCTTAACAAACTAATATCATTTTTATGTTTTATATATTTTATTAATATTAGTTTTTTTAAATTGTTAAGCTAAACATGGTTCACATAGGATTAGGATAAGATATGATTATGATTAGGATAGATTAAGATATAAATAAAATATTCAAAATAGTGAAGGGTAATATTGACCATTGAAAATTAGAATTTGATTATAGATAAGGTAGTTCAAACTATAAAGGGGTATATTTGTCTAAAAAAGATTTTCCGAACTCGTGCTTTTAAAGGGAGTATGATAAATGCGCCGAGAAAAGTTAAAAGCAGAGCTATGAATGTATAAAACAGAGAAAATATAAAAACTGCATCCTGAAACATGTGAGCAAAAGCAAACCCATAACCTTCCTATATGTACATCAAAGATCCTGGCATATACAATAAGAACATATATGATCAAAATCCAAATCCAATGATAATTACGCCTGATGAAGCCTAATTAACTCCAACTCCTAGCCTAATTAAGCCTAGCCCTAGCTAAAAGTAAGCATTAAATAACCCTACGCTTTTGGATCCTTAATGGGGCAGTATGCGAAAATTTCAGAACGAAATTAAGGAATTTAGGAAATGTAAGAATATTCACATATGCAAATATCATAGCTAATGTTATTTGAAATCTAATAATCAAGAAATAAAG